TCTGCCCACATCCACACGAGCCCCGTCCTTCCTCAGGCCTCTGGCCCACACCCTAGGCCAGGTCTACTACCCTACAACACTCTTCCCAGGCCACCGACAGCCCACGAGGCAGGAACTGTGGCACACTCATCTTTGTGGCTGCAGCAACCAGCATGGAAACTGGCACACAGTAGGTGCTCAAACATGCTTGCAGAAGGCGCTGGGAGGGAGGAGCAAGGAGAAAGCAGCCAAAGTTTGGAGGTAGAAACAACTAGTTAGGAGTAACCCAGACATGCCCTGTCTGCCTTACCTGTCTGCAGACAGAGCAGGGCCCTAGCTCACTGACCCCAAACAGGTGCACCTGGAGTCACCATGACGACGAGGCCTGAGGGTGGCAGAAGGCTGGGGGCCCCTCTGGGGCTCTTGCCCTCATGTTCACTCCATCTCTGAGTATCCAGCAGGCACAAGGCACATGCATGTGGGGTGGAAGAACTCTGGTTCTCCTCAAAGAAAGCAAGGGACAATCCCTCTGAAGGATGAAGCAGCCTGTCACCTACCAGACTGTGACAGGGAGAGCCACTGTCACATGCCCTGGGCTCACAGAAGTCAGAGAACAAGCCCTCAGCTCTCCCAGCCTGCTAGGTCAGCAGTAAGACATTCCAGAAAACGGATTTGGCAGCATCCAGAGGGTATTAAATATTTATCCTGACTGCCCATCAGTAAAATCCCAGCAGAACACGCCCCCGGACAAGCCGGCTTTCTACACCGGAGGCTGTCCTCCCTGACGCTTGTTGATTGCTTTGTCAATTTTAATGTGCAATATTTAACAGCCAGAGCAAAGTATGGTCGTAAACATTTGAAAAATGAGTGCTGACATTTCCCTTATTGCTTTTGTATTTAGGGATATGTAATTGGAGGGTGTTTTTGGTGCTCAAGAAAATCAGAAGGAAGTAAAGAGGTGCTTCAGAATTAAAAGTGAAAAGAACTGATTAAGAACTAAGAATCGAGTACGAGGAATGCGCTGACAGTCTTGCCTAACGGCCCCTTGGGGCCACACCCTGCAATCGATGGGAGTGAGACTGAGAGAAATCAACAACGGAACAGGAGGAATGGCATTTTTAAAAGATTTCCTTGGGGATGCACATACGGCACCACAGCACGCACACAGAACAGTCAATAATACAGCCACGACAAGCGGATCGTGCCATCCAGCCACAGATTTTGGTGAACCAAATACCTAGGATGTGGTCAGGTCAGTAGGTGGCTCTGGCAAGGACTGATCTTGGGCACTGACCACACGGAACCCCCTTGGGAGCAGATGACATCAGCAGTGGAAGACTGAGATAAATGGACCAATGTGAGTGAGCCAAGAGTCCCTGGGTTTCTACTGGATTCTGTTGAAATGAGAATATTCGACAAAATAGTCTTAAAAGGGGTGGGGGCAGGCAGTGGGGGACGCTTCTATGTAAGACGGGGTAGGGTTTACAATCCGCGTTTTGAAGGACAAGGTATGGAGGGAGAGGAGAAAGAAGAGAAGCCAGTGCTGGCTTTGAGCTCCAATGTCCCCAAGTTTTAGAGCCATCTTGTGGCAGAAATCAGAAGACACAGAGGAGCTAGAAGAGGCACAAGTTAAACTCCTATGCTATCGGCAAACTGTGTCTTGAGGAACCTCTACAGGTACGTTGTGATCCCAACTTAAAAAAACAAATTTAAGTATCTGCTAAAGGGGACCAGGAAATCATGGTTGGCAAACCACAGAGATTAAATAAAAGTCCATGGTACCGAGAGAATTCCTGAGAAGAAGAAGAAGAAAAAAAAAATTGTCTGGAAAATACCATAATATAATCAAATTAAAAGCCTGGACTCTGGAGCCAGACTGGCTGTCTGGGTTTGAATCTCGTCTCTGCCACTTCCTATGGCTCAGGATAATTTACTGAGCCTCTGTGTCAGTGTCCTCGCCTGTAAAGTGGGTGAAACAGTAGCCCGTGTGGCACGGATTAAATAAGAACTAAGCGAGGTATTCCGTGGAAAGCACTCGTGATGGTGATGGGTACACAAAAAAGGCTCAATAAATACTAGCTGCTACTGTTGTAATTGCTGCTACTACAGCCGCTGGCAGGGCTTAGACCCCTCCACGTCGGGCATCTACAAAGAGTGACCTCTCTGTAAACGTGGCTGTTAACAGATGCAGGAGGAGTACTTTCCAATGATACGGCTTTAAAAAAGGTCAAAGTCGCCTTCCGTCCACCCCGACTGCTTTTCAGTAAGGGCACCTGCGTTCAAACCTCAAGGTCCCAGTCTCTGTTTATTTGACTTTGATAAGTCAGAGCCTCTCTGAGCCCCAGTTACTCCATTTATAAAGCGGGAAAGCAACACCTTCCTCCCAGGGTCGCAGTGAAGGTGAAGGGAGGTAATACACACCACGCGCCCCAAACTCTCTCTGGCACAGGGTCAGCACTCTGGTATTTTTCCACTTCTACTTCCCCCAAAATAAAAGTCCCAGTGTATGGGGGAAAAAGCAAAATGAACATGAAGCTCTTTGGAAAAGATTAAGTGCTAAACGCATCAATATTTGATAAAGGAGAGACAGTAACACTTAAGGGATGCAGCCTCCTGGTCGTCAGCCACGCCCTGGGAGAGAGGGGCCAGGCCGGCCTCCTGAGCACCGCGGGCACTGGCCTCACAGCCAAGCGGCCAGCCTAACGGTGCTCCCGTCTCTGCCAGCCGCTGCTCCTCCCGGCTTTACTGTGAACACACCGACACACTCGCTCGGCGAAGCCACCCCGGACACAAACACGGTCCTCAGAGCAGATCCTGAGTCCCCTACCTCCCCAGCTCCTTTTTCTACCCAGGAGGCAATGAAACGGCATAATGGGAAACAGAGATGGATGGGATCAGAGACCTGGGCTCCCATCTCGGTTCCGCCTCAGGCTCCCACGGACCAGGCTGGCTTCCCTCCTTCACGGCTCTTACACACTGGGGGGCCTTGGTTTCCTTCCGGGGAAACCAAAATGGGATAAAACATCTACACGACTTCATCGCTGGCTGAACTGAGAAAGAAAACATACGTGCTGAGCACAAAGCCTGGCACCCGGGACGTCCCGCACACGCTTCGGTCCCTTGTCCCCTTTTACGGACACCATCGACTGATCAGAATCCAAACAAGTTGAACCTTCAACGAATAAGTGCTTATTCCTCCCTTCTGTGCTCGTCTTAGACTCCGAGGAGCAACAGAAACAAGCACACACATTAGGGATTTATTCAAAAAGGCAAAGTCAGCCAGGGTCCTGGGGTCAGCACTCGCTCTGCCTTCTACGGCTGCAGACCATGTGATGGGCACTGGGGCTCACAACGCTGGCCCCAGAGGCCGGAGGAGACCTGAGAGGTGCAATTACCATCACGATGCTCTCTGCCCAGTAAGGCAGGCAAGTGCCTCCCTCGGCACTTTCCACAATGAGGGCTCAGGCGAAATGGGTTCTCTGCTTAACCCTCCATTAACCTGAAAATCCACTTAAGCAGAACCGCCTCTTCCCTGAGCATCTTGTCGCCCAGGCTGAGGCTCTAATTGGCCAAGGGACGGTCCCTTTATTTATGCAGCTCACTTGTTGCAAACTCTGGTACAGAACAGGAGTCTTCTGGGGTTAGGAGAGGTGAAGGGTAAACGCAGACATTATCAACCTATAACCTCACATTGCTAAAAATAACACCGCAACCATCCGAAGCAGTCCAGCAAAACAGGGGTGGGCACTGACCATCGCTGAGCGTGGGCGGAAAAATCCTTTTTGCAAAGTGTTCGAACATTCCTCACCAAGTGGGTGACTCAGAAAGAGTCTCTGCAAAGTCACCTCCTGTCCAAGCCCCGCCCTTCACTGTGTGGGTGCCTGTGCGGGGGACGGGAGCCAGAGGGAACCATGTCCTGGGCTCCACCCTCCATCAGCTGCCACCCCAGCAGGAGATGGGGACAGATGCGAGGAAATCACAGGAGCATCGGACTTAACCACCTGCCGTGCTAGGGAAAGGGCCTGACGAAGGCGAGAGAGTCTGCAGAAAGCCCCCTCCACCGCCCCCCCATCTAGTGCCCACATTAGCGCATCCTCGCCACCTGCTGTGAGACTGACTCGGCTTCGCGGGAGAAGGGACCTCCGACTCAGGCACAAGGACGGGGCCTGGTCACAGAACAGCAAGGGAGAAGGCGGCAAGGGTTCAAATCCTGGCTCCACCGACCACCAGCTACATGACCCCGCGCTAGTCACTTAACCTCTTCTGGGTTTGTTGTGAAATTCTAATAAAACAAGCAACCCTAAGCACCTAGCACAAAGCAGTTCCCCAGTAAGGGAACTCAGTAAGCATCCCCTTCCCTCTGCCCTCCGAGGCTCCTTGTCTGCAAACAGGGGACAATAGTTCCTTGTTCACATCGCTGCTGCAAGGATTATAGGAGATGACATGAAGTAAAGGGGCAGCAGAGCTTCTCGCTCAACAGTCCGCCTGGACACGTCACAAGTGCCAATGTCTTAACGCACACACGCGCACACCCACCCAGGGAACTGTTCCAGATCAAAGGAGTCTAAAGAGACATGACAACTAAAAACGACACGTGACCCCTGACTGGACCCTGGTTCGAAAGAAGGAAAAACTATAAAGGGAATCTGGGACAGCTGGGGGAATGCTGGTAACATCCCATCATCACGTTAAATCCCCAGAGTCCGACAGCGCTGTGTCTGGGTAGGACAGTGTCCCTGCTCTCAGGAGGTACACGCTCAAGTAACCTGACGTCGTCAGCTTAACTGGTTTGAGAACGACAACAAGACCCTCGCAGAGGGAGCCCGCGCACGCTGGAAGACGTCGGCAACCGGCCCTCGAGGAGGGACTATGATTCTTGCAACTTCCTGCAGAGCTGACGTCTCTCAACACGGAAAGTCGGGAAGCGAAAGCGGCCAGGCCACGGGCTCGGTGCGGGCCTTGCGTCCGCTCCCCGCACGTCTCCCCAGCCAGCACGAGCTCGCGCGCCCCGAGGTGCCTACCTGGCTGCAGCACCCGGATCTCCAGCAGGTTGGAGGTCCGCTCGGCCAGCCGCGTCCAGGAGCTGTTGTAGTTGCGCCGCCAGAGCTCCGCCACACACTGGTACTTGCCCGCCTCCGTGTCACTGGCCCGGCTGATGCTCAGGCGGACATTGTTGCTGGACTCGGCCTTCTCGATGGCCGTGCGGGTTCTGAAGGTGGAGGACCGATCCCCCCACTGGACCCCTCCATCCCGGGTAAAAGTCACCAGGTCCTGGAACTCGACGGTGCCCACCGGCTGAAACCGCCACGTCACTGACACGGGGACCCGGGCGGGGTAGTGGGGTTTGATGATGCACTGCAGGTCAAAGGAATCGCTGTAGGTCACCCCTGGCGTGCGGGAGATGGCTGTGACCGCGAAGCCCGTTTCTGCAGAGAGAGCAGGGAGACTCAAGCCAGAGGAGACACCTGGCTTTCCCAGGGCTGTGTGACACGGCGATGGGGTCCTGGCAATAGCTAGCGGGGCAGAGCAAAGGCTCGCGGGTCTGTTTCGATGCCCAGACAAGTATTACGTTAGCCGTCACGTGCAGGCACGAACCCACGGTTCATAAGACCCCACAGAAAGAGGCCGGGGGCAATTTCTCAGTGAAGCCTTCACGTTGCTCTGCGGTCCATCTGTCCCCATTGCGGGGCCATTCCTGGAAATTTTGGCATTCTGTGCTAAGGCAGGAGAAAAGAGCCTCAAAGCCAATCTCCTTCCTCCCCTGCGAGGTGGTCACCATGTTCCCAGCCCCGACACCTCCTCCACCTGGCCCACCAGTGCACGGGTGCTGGAGGAGGGTGGAGATGGAGGCGGCATGCCACGTTCCCGGCTGGGCAGCGTGGGGCTTGCTCAGAAGTCCCTTTTCCACTTTCCTCGTGAAACCCAGGGGACAGAGGGAGTGAGGGACCCACAGCGGGAGAGCCTGACCTCCAGCAGGTGGCGACGTGGGAGAGGCGGGGTCCTGCGGCCACAGCAGGCTGAGTCTCTGGATGTTTCTTACTGAATGGGCAGCAGCACTCATCCCTAACAGTGACTCCTCTGGGAGTGAGCCGACTTCCTTCCGCCTTAAACTACTCTACTACTCAGTATTGAGATACTGGTTACGATCGCAAAACCGAGAGCGGCCGCTGTGTTGGTAAATGGCAGTCAGGCCACAAATCTGCGTGTAAGGGACTCCGGGGGCCTTACTAGGCCGCGTTCGCCACGGGAAGCATGAGGCGGTGGTAAAAGGCACAGACCCTGGAGCCAGCTGCCCAGGTGTCACTTCCTAGCGGTGTGACACTGAGTACGTTACTTAACTTCTCTGACTCCTACGTCTCCATCTGTAAAATGGGTCCATGTGGAGATTAAATGAGGTAGTATTTGTAAAATACTTGGAACAGTACCTGGCATACAGTGTAAATTACACTTGGTTAAATATGTATTTTGTTAAAGAAACAAACATAAGGGAAAATAAACTCTGCGGGGAATCGACGAGGCACAGAAGGAATCTTCTGGCTTTCTGAGTCAGCACACAGGTGGGCATGATCTGATCTCTGGGTCTTCGATGTGGATTTCATAAGCTATCTTTATGGATCCTATTTCTAAAAAAAGTTAAGCTACAGAGGCCCTTCCTTAAACATTAAGTGGCTGTGACGGTCACCTGTGCACCTGTGCGTACAACGTGCTGCCACGGGAGTGGCAGGGACAGGATCTGCACTAGGTGTTCCTGGCCTCAGCACCTGAGGGAAGAGAGCTTTCCTGAGCAAGTGACTCTGTCTCGGCCTGACGGAGACACACCACGGTGACAGCTCACAGAGTACCCGAGGTGCCCTAGCTGAACAGTTCTAACGGTCCACGTGTGGCTGGGGGACATAGCCGCCTATTACCTCACCTGAGCACCTGTCACTGTCACCTCCTTGCTGAGAGGGGATCCACTCCTAACTGTACTAACATGAAAATTCAGGTGTGTGTCATTGGTTACTTTAGGCTGACAAGGCCACCTTTCTCGAGGGGGGTGCCCTTTGCTCTGCCCTGCTCCATCCCTCTCGGGCCACTTCGAGTCAGCTTTAGCCAGAGGCGGCCCGGGGGTGGGGAACAAGTTAGAGCCCCTTGGTAACCGGGAAGCACTGGACATACGGTGAGTGTGACAACATTCGGGGAATAACCTAAAACCGTGAAATTACTTCCAGAGAAACAGCCCTGACTAACCCCAACATCTCCTTGGATATTCCCAGCCTCATGGGACGGGAACAACCAGCACTGCCGGACGCCCAGAACCTTCCTCACTGGTTCCTTTGCCACAGGTGCTCACGGACGCTGGGCACAGGCACAGTCATGGGGCTGGTCAGGAAACTCAACCGCTGGACGAACTGTCCAGAGCCAGAAACCCCAGCCGTCTGACCCCTGCGGAAAGCAGGTTGACCTTTGGGATTAAGCCTTTAAAGTAAATGTAATTCTATCCTGGGCGTGAGCGGGGAATGGGACACTGGGAGGGCAACACCACTCGGGGCTGTCACCTCCACGGCGGGGTCCCCAAAGCAGCCCCACCCATGAAGAAGCCCAGTAACACGGATGGTCCCGGGGAGCAGGACACGAAGTCACAGGGACATCTGATGTCCGAGTCGCCCCTGATGAAAACAGAAGCCTTAACACGAGTTCCCTTCCCAGCCAAGGAGCAGACGAGCCTTTTAAAAATGTAATACACTGATTATATTAGGCAGATAAATGTTGACAGAAGCCTCTTTAACCACCCCGTAAGAAGCAAATCTAATATTCTTGGGTTTTAGCAAATCTCAAGGTATCTTTTAATTTCATGCTAATGAGAAAATGGCTTTCCTAAGGAGGGGCCTTACAGAGGAGATAAACACACAGGCTTTGAAAAAAAATTAAGACAGATTGCAGATTTCCCGGGTTTGGGTAGGGTGTTTGTGTTTTAAAAGCTATAGCCCCAAGCAAATCAGTTAACCTGTCTCACTCAGTCTCCTCATAAAATAAGTGTCTACCTCTAGGTGACATCCAAAGGGACAATTAAGCTTAAGTGCTTAGACTCAGTCAGGAGCATAGTCAATGCTAAATAAATGGCTAAAGGTGATTTTCGACCCTTCTGGGGGTGGGGAGGCTTTGCTCCAGGGCTTCCAGGCCAGTTTTGAAGGTGGCCATGCTCCTCTCTCTACCTGGGGCCACCTCTCCTGCCGAGGAGCCTTGCTCACCTGGCCAGAATTCTTAAAACTTTATGCCCACCGCCCAGACCTAGAGGTGGCTGAGCAGCTCTCAGCTGTCACGTCTCCAGGTGTCCCAGCATGCACTGGTCCCTTCGACCCCACCTGCGCTTCCACGGAGGGTTCCCCCAATTAAACCCTTTGAAAGTGCCCTCCGTTTCCTGCCACGACTGACGGGACACACTTCTTGACGTGGAAGCAGGCGTGCCAGAGGTCCCACCGAGAGTTCCAGACGCTCACTTACCAAGAGCCGTGACGGAGATGGGGGTGCTGGCTCGGCGCTCCCCGACGATCTGCCACTCGCCATCCACCGCCCGCACCCACTCGGTCACGTGGCATTCGTACTGGCCCTCGTCCTCCTTCCTGCTGTTGAAGATGCCCAGGCTGAAGGAGCTGGGCTGCACCTGCTCCATCTGGACACCCCCGAAGCTGCTGCGCTCCCAGTAGGACGCGCCCGGCTGCACGGTGCCGTCCCGGTCCAGCCACACGATGTTGCTGCGGCGGTTCTGCCTGTCCACGAGCTGCCAGATGACAGAGAAGCGGCCCTGCGGCCTGCCCGCCGTGCGGACGCTGCAGGAGAGGTGCAGGTTCTCGCCCTCGAGGACCACGCTGGCGTTGCTGGCCACCTCCACGGAGACGCTGCTCTCTGAGAAGAGGGAGAGAATGCGCATGCGCTGGGGCATTCTGGTCGCCATGGTGCCCGCCCGCCCCCGACAGAAGTAAAAGAAGGGCGGATGCAAATTTCACCCTCTTGGGGTACAGGGACCTCGGAGGATAAAAGCACTGGCACTGGCTGGGGTAAGGCCTGGCTGGTTCTAGGCACGGCTCCCCATGATTTCAGCTCTGACAACCGAGGAGGCCCTGTGCTATGTACGGAAGACTAGGAAACCCAGGGTCTAAGACCTGGGGCTGAATCAGAACCTAAGGAGACACAGCACAATGAGGTTATGCTTAGGGCTTAAAATCATTTATCGGGTTATCTGTTCAGCTGGGGTTCGAGGATTTTTCAATGTGGATTTTCAGTAAGGTGAATTACTCAAAAATTCTACTGCACCTCTGTCTTCCCACCATTCGGTGCCACAGCAGTCAAATGAAAGGCGACATGCACAACGTGCTGAGTCCCTCAGAGCAATATTAGGAAGTAGGAAAAAAAAAATGATGGTAAGTATTTGGAGGATAACGCGTGCTTGGTGTGGGTAACAGTGGGCACAGACGGTCTAGTCTCACAGACTGAGTGGGGAGTGAGCTTTCATACTTTTCTTAACACGAGGAATAGTACAAAGCCACTGGCCGGCTATCCTGCCCATCTGCACTCAGCCCTGAGGTTCCACTGTTCTTGACCTTGAAACATTCTGCCAGTCAAAGCTGGGGATAAGGAATCTGCTCCTTTCTCTCCTTTGCTGCTCACTTAGCTATATGAACTCACTCAATTGAGTTGTAAAGTCTATATACCTTTTCCTATAAAACAGGGAGGGTATTTATCTCAAGCAGTTTTTTAAAGATTAAAAAGTATCTGAAGCAGTGTATAGAAATCACTTAATAGGTTTTCGAAAATTGATCACCATGATCATGATTCATTTTACTATTCCCAGTAACTTTTTATAAACATCATAGATAGTCTAATCTTCTTAATTATGCATATTATTTTGTATAATTATCTATATTGAGTTCAAAAAGCCATAAGTATGAAAGAATACAAAATACCATAACCAGTTTGGCTCTAATTTTCTGGGAACCGCCCACGTAAAATACAACAATTTTAAATCAATCAATTAAATCAAATTCCAGATTAAGAGGCACACCCAATTACAGAGGGGAAGCACACGCATACCCACAACCATGCGTTTGAATCAATCTCTCCCCCCTCCCCACCCCGTATTTCCCCTACAGGCAGAAACAGGCAAAGGTGAGCACTGAGCCTCTGTGTGTAGCTCTTGCTTTGGTGAGTATGCCTCCTACCCAGTCTGGATAGGCTGGTTTCATGGGGGAGAAAGATGGGGAATAGCAATTTCCCAGAAGGGCCATCTCCCGAGGAGCCATACCAAGCGGATTTGTGAAGATGCCGAGGATCCTGATTTGCACTAGTGGCTACGAACCTGGACGTGGAGGTGGGCAGGCCTAGGCCCTAACCCCACAATCTTGGATTCTTACTTAAACAACCAAACTTCAACTTCGCGGTGCAAAATGGAACTAATACTTCCTCCTCAAGGTCACGGCACTAAGAGAATTAGAGGAAGTAATTATACTTTCATCATCGTCATTAATAGTAAAAATGTTCCTCTCTAGATTAAAGACTCAGCTCCACCAGTATCAACTCCGACTGAGGAATTAGCACTGAGGGGAAAAATCCCTTTGCTCGCATTAAGCAGAAGAATGATTTTGCAGGGCATCACTCCCGGCCCCTACTGTCACCCCAGTGGACTCTTACGTAAGCCCTGGCTTGTTTATTACGAAGGCTGCTGTTCGGTGCGCTGCCGCTCCAGCAAGCCTGGAATAATCGCACGGTTAGAACTTGTAACTACGAGAAGACAAATCATTCCGGCCGCCCTGGCAAAGGCAAATGCAGACGCAGTGCTGCACTGCCCAGTTAAGACTATTTATTTCCAAGTGTTCTCAGGCCTGAAAAAAGGCAGCCAACAATTTAGATCACTCTGGATTAAGTGCAAACTAGGACAGAACTAATGAGAATCTGAGTGCGTGTTCGCAAATGACATCTCGCATCAGGAGGCTGATGACGCAGCACAGGCTGGGCACACAGCGGTGGATGTGGAGTTAGGAGCAAATATTTCTAACACGATGCAAGCTCGACCACTAACAGAAGTGGCTCGGCCACTTCTCTGGATGGTGCTCAGGCTTCTTCATAGGACAGATGCGATACTGGCCTCTGCAAGGGTTTCAGGGGTGAGAGCAGAGAAGATGACAAATGCAGAAGCACTTTGGGCTCTTGGGAGGAAAAGCGCCATTAGAATCCAAGGTATTATCACCATTACCGATGTGATCGTTTTTCTTTGGTAGACTTACCCAAGTGGCCTTGGGGCAGGATCTGGTGGTTCTGGGGGACTTTAACTACCCAGTCATCTGCTGGAAAAGCAATATAGCAGGCCACAGATCATCAAACAAGTTCTTGGAAGGGGCTAGGGGAAATCTCTCAGCACAAAAGATACAGGAAGTAAACAGTGTGGCTGCCCTTCACTGGATCCTTACAAAACAATGAGGAATTAGTTGCATGTTTCAAAGCAGAGAGTCCGTGTGTGGTTAAGGCAAGCACCGACTGACAGGAAAATAGGAAAGAGAGTGGGCATTCGATTCCACAGTTTCAATTCTGTAAGTATTCGGCAAGCACCTATCCTATGCAAGGCACCATGCTAGGCATTGCAGTGGGAAAAAGTCTAGGAACAAAAGGATTTCGAGATAATTAGGTGTGTGTGTGTGATTAAAAAAAATAATGGCAAAAAGCATAAAAGAAAGTAATCCTGTTGGTGAGAAAAGAAAAAAAGAGTGGGAAGACCAGACCACGGTGTCTGTTTTTCCCTTCGAACTTGAAAGCGACATGAAAAATATGAAAGTGTAAATAAAAATGTAAAGGGAATCATGACAAGAGTAAGAGAAAGAACAGTCTGAGCAGCTGAGATAAGATTAAAGGTTAGTTTTTTTTAAAACTTCACCCTCATGTTTAAAATTAGGGCATTATAAGCTTTAGTTCTCTTTTTACTAAAAACAGAGCTATGAGAGAAAGGAGACGTTAATGAGAACATCCTGGTTCTATGGATGAATCAATACAACGTGAGCAAACACAGGCTGTCCCCCGAGTCCCCAGCCACGACTGTGACCCCGTCCCCCGAGTCCCCAGCCACGACCGTGACCCACCCAGACAACGCCAGCTGACATGGAGGCGGGGAGCCCAGCTACGCAGCCTCAAAACCCGGCTAAGCTTTAAAAGTCTACACCCTGGGACGAGGTGAGTGGGCCCAGCCACTGACTTTTAAAAACACAACTTCCATAGGGGAACGGCCAACTCTCCTAACCCCAAAACCCAGACAGCAAATCCCTCTTAATAATGCATCTTATGACTTAAAATCCTCCCGTAAAAGACCAACTCTCCTAAGTGAGATGTCAAGAGAGGCGTCTACCCACTTCTTCTGGGCTTAATTGCCACTCGGGAGCAAACGGCTGTCCAGAATTCCTGGTTTTCCTCCCAGCTGAGCTGGCACTGTGCTGGCGCTGACTCAGAGCCGCTAGTGCTGGAATCTGCAATGCCCCTCTAGCTGCCAACGCAGCCCTGATGCTCTGCCCACCTGGGGGCTGCTGAGTGTGGGTGGGTGGGCTGGAGAACCAGTGGTTAACCAGTTTCCGCCGCTAGCTTGAACCCTAGACTTCCAGCTCCCTTCCCAGCCCCTCCCCCAGGCGATGCCACTGGACCAGACCAGTGGGTGAAGGAGAAGGAAGCGGTGGTCCCTCCACTTACTGATGGGGAGGACTATGATGGGGATGTTCTTCGGACGCTTGCTCTCCTTGTCGATGAATTCCCCGGTGACCGTCTTCTCCCTCTCTGTCACACGACAGTTGTATTTCCCGCTGTCTTCCTGGCGGAGGTGGTAGATCTTCAGCACGAAGACACTGTCGCTCTCTTTGGCCACTTTAAGCTGTCCCTTGGCTTCCCGATGGGCAAATTCACTGTTGAGGACCGGCACGGCATTAGGCCCCATGCTGGCGATGAGCGAGCTGTTGAAGGCCCAGGAAACGGCGAAGTATCGGTCGGGAACGTTCTGAGCCTCCAGGATGCATCTGAACTCCACAGGCTCACCCATCGTGTACAGCCGCTTCTCTGTCTCCAGCCGAACGGTGAATTCCTTGTCTGAGCAAACAAATCACGAAACAGGTGTGATCTGGGTGCATGAGGACCCTCGCCACCCAGGCTGCGTCAGCCATCCCACCGCCCATGCCTTCCTGGCAATGCTAACTAGAGATGGCACCTCCACACCTGTCTTGAGAGAAAAAGCCAGCTCGTGCCCAGGTGACCTGAGAAACTCTTGAGCACCACAGAGGGAACCCAAAGGCAGCCAGACCCAGACGGTCTGAAGGGCCTGGTATCTCTATCTGTAGCTCATAATGCCCTAGATTAGACCCCCAAAAGTCAACCAGGAACTCCTAGCATCGCCCACGTAGCAGATCGTAAACATCTAGCCTTGACCTCTACACCCAGAACTCTGCCGAAGCAGCAGGATTACAAATATTTTCAGCAGATGCTTTTGATTTACCCCACCGAGGTTTGGGAGACAAAATGACACAGTGGCCAAGGCACTGACCCCAATCCTAACAAACACTCAAAAATCAAACAAATTGAGATACATTTTCCGCCCCCACGCGAATACTGGAAATAAGACACAAGTAAGACAAACCCTTACAAAACTACATAGGAAAAATGAAAACGAATGGCTTTTCACTAGTTACCACCTGTCAAATCTTTAGAAAGATGGAGTCAAAAAAATAAAAACACCTACTTCTGCTGAAAGCTAGACACCCTGGAATGGCCAGTGGACGCAAGCACCCTTCAAAGGGAGGGGGTTCAACCAGGCATGAGGGGACCAAAGGAGGGGCTGCTCGTCCCAGCGATGCTCGGTGACTGTCACTTGCCTGGGGGCTGTTCTCCTAAAGCCCAGCCGCCCAGGGCCGAAGTGGGGAGGAGAGTAAGACAGAGGAGTCGAGGGCTGGAGAAAAGGTTTTGTTCTAGAAAACAGAACCGCAGAGCCCTGGGCCGAGGAGGCCGTAGCGGCGCCCACTTCCCGAGTCCCTCCTCCGTCCCATGCTAGCTGTTTCTCCAAGCAGCAGCCTGAAAGCCACGTTCCAGGGCCGTCCGGATTGCTGGCTCATTAGCTCCTTCCCTGCACTGGCATCTCAAGCCTCCACCGCCACCTTCGAGACCTCTGCCCCGCTGTCAACCCCTATCCCATGCACTCTGCAAGCAGACGAGAATCCCGCTTCCCTGAAGAAAACGAAGGAACAGGAATCCCGAGCGTACTGCTTCGACACTTCTCCTCTCCGGCCCCTGCCTGGCTTTGTGCCCACCTGTCCTGCAGGCTCTCCATCCCCTCCCCTCTCACCTGGGCCGGGGTCTTGCCCCAAACACCTATCTTTTCCGCCAATGAATTAGCTCCTTCCTTTATTACCCGAACTTCCTAACAGAGCAAACCACACTCAACAACGCCGGGGGGCTCCCTCCATGTGACAGCGCTGCCTCCGCTTCCCCTTCCCAAAAGACACGGCTCGAAAGAAGCAGTTTTATTATCAGCCTCTGCCTCGACGAATGCACCTACATGGGACCGCGCCCACGTCGTCTGCCAGGTACTGGCTCTCTGGTCGACAAAACCGCAGTAATTTATAACTCAACATCAAGGATAAAAAAGCACCCCTTCCTCCTAAATGCCGCTGAGGACGGGCAAACAGGTGCCCTGGACCTCGGACCTTTCCGCATCCTCGGAGTCAGGCTGGCTGCGACAGTGGCTCTCTCCCTTTGGCAGCCAAAGGCCTTTTCCTCGTGCAATACCCCACGGCTTGGCGAAGCCCGCACAGTCCCCGGTGGAAGACTCAAGATTCAGAGCACCCCACGCTCTTTCTGCACGGCAATTTGCCGTTGGTTGTACCCACTCGATTAAACCTCTAGAAAACAATGTACGCCTTCTCCAATACCCCCTCGCTCCTCAGCTCACTGAACTGGAATTCTGGGCCTTTTCCCACATTTCACTGACCTGGCAACTGTCACCCACGACCCCGCTTCCCCCGGCACAACCAAGAGCTTTTCTCCAGCACGTTTTGGTTCTGCACCCACGCCCCACCCCTGGGCTCCGTGACACCTTCCCTCCCGCCTCTCCTCTCCCTCCCGACCACCTGTTTCTCTCTCACGGGGGCTGCTCCTCCAACCACCTGTTTCTCTCTCACGGGGGTTGCTCCTCTGACCGCCTCTTCCGCTTCTCCTGGGCCCTTTCCCATTTGTACCCCACGGGCTTTCCTGGGCCCTCGTCACTCCCAAGTTCAAACTCTAAGCGAGCTCTGTGTCTGACGACACAGACACTGGGTCGTTTCACACACCCAGTGACTGGAAGATTCTGCTTGCGGGATGGGCTCCTCGAGGAAAACTCACAGAAACAAAAGAAAAGGCTGCACTCACAGGGAGGCGGACTTCCCAGGACTCCTGGGTCCTCCTGGCCGTTCCTCCCCCGTGCGTCCCGCAGCTCAGGGAATCACGCTGACTTTCAGCCCCGTGCATCCAGACAGCTGGACGCCCCCCTTCCATGCTGCCTGCCTTCCAGGCCACTGCCACTCACCTGGTCCCACTCTTACTTTACTAGTTCTTTCCTGCCTGGTCTCTCTTTAGACCCAACCTGCTTAATCCCCCGTGGTCTTTTTCCTTCTAAACCCAGACTTGATTACGTCACTCCTTGCTTAAAAATCTCAACCCCGCCCAAGGATCTGCAGCAGCGGTTTTCAAGCTTTATTTGGAGAGGGACTTCCCTTTTTCAGATAAAACCTTTTGGTGCCCAATATAGAAAACATTTGGTTGAACTGAGCGGGGAACACTGAGGCCGTCCCAGGCCTTCCTCCAGCAGCCCTGGCACGTACGCACGCACGGGAACACGCACGCGCATGCACACACCCACGTGCAACCTCCCCAACGCCTCCGAGAGGCTCCTAAGGTTCCAACAAGAGCAGCCTGAAAACGCAGAAGGCCAAGCTCCGCATCGCAGCATGCGGGGCTCCGGGCTACCGCGCCTTTCTCCCGCCTCACTCACGTCTCGCACTCAGCCCTGACGGACACCTGACCGACGGACACCTGCCGTCTCTCCGCTTGCCTAACAGGTCGAACGGCCTTGCACCTTTACGCTTCTCCTCCCGCCGTCTCCCCGAGCTTCAAGGCTCAGCGCGAGCCGCCCCACGGCTGGTTTTCCTGGATTTGCCTTAACCTCCGTGTCACGCAGGGAAACTTCTCGCCGTAAGAACACTTCGCGCCGACCGTGTTCCCAGAGCCCGTTACACGGGACACTGTCGTAGCACTCAGCACACCGCCCTCAGCCCCTGCTTTCCCACCCGCACGTCTCCCGGGAGCAGAGACCAAGCATCATCCATCTCCAAATCCCCAATGCTGTCACCGCACCTCCGGGGCTGTAGAGACTCGCTACACGTTTATGGAAATGAACTAAGTTGGGGCTGTCACCACGAAGTCTGAACAGCACAGCGTCCCAGAGTGAGGTCATCGACGTTTTTTTTTCACCCAGTTTGCCCTTTGCCAGCTTAGTTTGGATACATTCGCTGGGCCAATTTTAAAACTCCTAATTCCAAATTGGTAAGATTAAAATAAAGAAGATTAACTGATGCAACCTAATTTAAAAGCGTTCAGACTCAAAATTTGGTCCAGACTTTTCGAAGCTGATCTTAACACCATCCAGGAAGGGAAAGGATGAGTGTGGAACGCAGCACCCTCTGTAGATTTCTTAATACTGGAAGATCCGCAAGCTGCTCAACGCTCTGGGTCCTACAGAGCAGATAAGATGCCACCCGTCCGGGGGCCCAGTCCCTCTCACAGAAGCTCTGACAGACGTGAGAGGTCCTGAGAATCACTTCTGCCCTGTGGCATCCAGAGCTGCGCTTCACGAACTGTGGACAGAGGAAGAATCGTGTGGGACGCACCCTGGACGCCAGCCTCCCAGGGCCCTCGCCAGGAGCCCGGCTCAGCGACCTGCACCGTGAGGGAAGTCGGAAGCCCTGCTCTAGAGTGACAGAGCTAGTGGCAGGGGAACGACGTGAGGACCAAGGCCACCGACTGTAGCCATGGGACAGGGAGGTCAAGTAGCGGGTGCTGATGAGGGGACCCCACCTGCACCTCGGGCTCCGCAGCCTGTCTCCCACCGACCCCACCTCCACTCCCCAGCACAGCTGCAGGGCCTCCCCAGAGCTCAGCGGAACACTGTACCTCCATGATGGCAAATGACCACCTCAACCAAAGGCGAGGACGGCCGGCCCATGGAGAGCTTGCCCCCAGTCCAGCCGAGGCAGCCAGCGCTCAGCTCTGACCTTGACCGCTGCTGGACTCGGGGGTCTAGAGAGTGCAGTCTGACCTTGTGGGAGGATAACACCACGGGTCAGAGAGGATCTCAGCTCGCAGCACCACCGTCGCCTGGGCCCAGATCTAAACACACTTCTGAACCTCCTCGGGGAACCCCCATGCGGGTCTGTCACTTGAAAGAACATCTGTGGGGCACTGGTACTCTCTGGGCCTTAATGACACGCGCTGGGACTCCTCCCGGGCCCCTCTGTAACACCGCCTGCACTTGGCACCTTCCGGCCAGCCACTTACCTCCCAGAACTTCTCAGGGACCGTGGAGTAACATGTGACAAAGCACTTTGGAAATTATAGATCACCACCAAAGAAATATCAGTAATAGAAGACAATAATCACTTATGCCAAAATTTCTCTAGTTCATAATTTCATACGTATGATAGGCTCCTACAAATGACACAGGATTGGTACCTGAAGCAGGCAACGTCATCAAAGAGGACGGGCACGTAGCCAACGGGGACCCCATCATAAGACACAAATGGTTTATGTGAAATCTCCCAATTTTCAAAATGAATTTGTAATTCAAGAAAATGTAAAACTCCGTGTAGGTTGAAGAAACCACGTGTGCAGGCAGGAGCCGGTCCGTATAGGTCCCCCCCACTCCCCAAGTCACTAGACAGTCAGGTCTCGGGACCGCTGGGCCCCGGACACCCTTCGGCTCCCTGTGCTCCTCGGGCAGGACCACTCTTAACTTCCCACGAAAACCCAGCACACGTTCAGAGGCGTCTGTCCGCACACGCTCCTCGTGTCGGACATCCTCACCACCAGGTAGAGGAAGACAAGGGAGACTGACCTGTGGGCTGGACAGTGACCACGGTCCCCTCGGAACGCTTCCGGGTCATGGCGTACCACGAGCCGTCCGGATCCTGGACCCACTCGGCGGCCTCGCAGTAGAACTCGCCCTGGTCCGAAGGCTGCAGGTGGAAGACGGTGAGGCGGAAGGTGGTGCTCCCCAGCTTGTCCAGCCGCACCTCCCCCAGGCTCTGCCTCTGGGCGTACTCGCTGCCGGAGTGAAGCACGAAATCCCGGCTCAGGGCGATGACCTCCACGGGCTTCTCACTGCCCCTCTGCCGGAGCCAGGCCACGGACAGGTGGCTGTGCTGGAACGTCTCCGTGACCACCTCGCAGGTGAGCTCGAGAGGGTCCTGCTCCACCTTGTGCAGAGTCTGGGGCATGGCGGTGGTCTGCAGAGAGTCTGGGATCACTGCAACACAGAGACGTGCCAAGTGCACGGTCACGACAGAGCCACGGCATCTTACGCTCACGGGGAAAAACTGGGGCTGTCCTGCTTCGGGCACATCACAATGATGCTGGGGGACACAGAAGGCAGCAGGAGAAGAGGAGGACCAATTATGAGATGGATGGATTGTATAAAAAAAGCCGTAGGCAGGAGTCCGCAGGAGCTGAGCGGGGCTGCTGAGGACAGGACACTGTGAACATCACTCATTCTTAGTGTCACCGGGAATCGAAGGCAACTCAACAACACATGACAGCAAAGCTCTGACCCCGATGACGCCTTCGACCATTGCTGCGAGGCTGCAAAGGAGCCCAGACGGCACGGGAACGAAGCAGCTTCCTACCTGCATCTGGACTGACAGTTTTTTGCCACTTATACTTACCTGCTTGGTATCGTCATAAGACTCAGATAAAAGGTAGGCTGTATTTAATTTTACATAATAAATGAACTCCCTGAAAATACCACGTAGAAAGCATTTTCTCAGGCAAAATTAGATTGTGTTGTTCATTTTGGTATCGCTTCGAGATACTCGACATGGGCCTCTTAAAATGGAAATCGTTCCTGGAAACTGGGGAGTTTTATATTTCTATACAACTTCTCATTTCATCCCTTCCAGCCACCACCCCACATTCTCCCAGCTGACTTCGGCAATGCCTTGCGCTAGGAAGGCTATTTAAAAAAAAAAAAAAAAATTTTTTTTTTTCTTCAGAAAAGCATCATCCTCCTCGATTTTTTAACAGATTTAATTTTCATATAATTCATGTGTCGAAATGGTCTACACTGGAAGAAAGCCACAGCGCGGGGATGATTCAGGCCAAGCGAAGACACTTGCCCCGTGGTCCCTTCGTGAGAATTCTTCCCTGGAGACTAAGCACCACCGCGCCTCTGGCTGACGAGGACCCGCCAGTCGCAGCTGTGCTGGTCTCAGCACGGGGTCTCACAGGCCTCCTGCCGGGGTGCAGACTTATCAAAAGGGAGAGCGAGCAGAGGGAGCTGGAGGTGGCGGTGGCGGGAGTGGGAGCTGGTAGCGCAGGTGGCACTGGGCCACGGCGTTGGCCAACGGGAAAGATCAACAATGCCGGTTTTTATTATCACAATCGAGCCTGGAAATTATGACTTGGGCAGAAAAATGGAACAGCCTTGAAGGTGTTGGCCCCTCACACCGAGCTCGGGGCCCGGGGAGGCAGCTGGTGCACGCGCCCCACGGAGCCAGGACCTACGGACGCACCCCGGGTCCGGGCGAGGACCTGCAGCTGCGTCCTCCACATTCAGTATCACCCTCGGGGGCTCAGAGCCCATCCAAAAGGCCCATCATTTCCAAGGGGTCTGGCCTCCCCTCCAGCTGACGTCACACGCTTTGCTGCCCTCGTCACCTCTCCAGATCACCAGCCGCAAACATCCTCACCTTGTGTTTTCATGTCCCCTTTCACCAGCTGGAGGGCCAGTTAACCTCTTAGCATCTGCTTTAGAGGTTTTTTTTAAGTGTCAGCCTCAACCTTCTGTTATTTACAAGAGAACACAAACTTTGTTCACCTGTGTTAGCTGCTGACTCTAAACTACTTGGGGTTTCTTTTAAGTCAAATAAAGTTGTACTCTGAAAGAAGTGACTCAGTGTTATGGAATGAACGTTGGTTTACGTCCCCGTAAAATTCTTATGTTGAAACCTAATCCCCAGTGTGATGGTATTTGAGGGGAGGCCTTTGGGAGGGGGTCAGGTCAAGAGGGCGGAGCCCTCATGAACGGGACTGGCGCCTGCATAAAGGGACCTCAGAGAGCTCTCTCACGTGCTTCCCACCATGTGAGGATACGGTGAGAAGTCCGCTGTCTGCCACCGGAAAAGGGCTCCTCCCGGAACTGGCCGGGCTGGCACCCAGCCTCCAGCACCGTGACAAATAAATGCTCGCTGTGGGAGCCGCTGGGTCTGCGGAGCGCTGTCACCGTACCCCGAACTGACGAGGAGCCCCGGGCAGGACCGCGGCCAGGGAGAAGCGGCCATCTCCTTACCCACGAGGTTCATCTTGGCGCTGTAACTCCCGAAGTAGCGCTCGTCGGTGTTGGGCGTGTGGCACTCGTACTCGCCCGCATCCCGGGCCTGCAGCTCCGTGATGTGCAGCAAGGCCGAGTGGTCCTGGACTCTCTCCACGTAGATCTTCCCGCTGCGGACGCGCTGGGTGTAGATGGCGTAAGGGAAGGAGGGGTCCACCGTGCTGACGATCTGGACCTCGCGCTCCGGGGCGGAGGGCAGGTAAATGGACCACTGGAAATTCTGCTCGGAGGGGCCCTGGTAGCCACTCACGTTGCACCAGATGGTGATGTGGGAGCCCTCCGTGCGGTATAGGGGTCCTTCCTGGACGGCGACTTGCCGCTGAGCCGTCACCTTACCTGTGGGGAAGACACACACAACATGCTCGATTAGTTCTCGGACCAAAATGCAAAGCAGGCAGCGGTTGTCAAAGGGTTTGTTATTTGTGTGACATGGGAATATAAATAGCTTACTGGCCCTTTCTGAGGCGCTCTGTGATTTATAAATATTAATTAAAATACTGTGGTAAAGCACTGTCCCTAATTTGCATGTATGGAAATTTGATCGTGTAAAAATGAGGTTCTGCTACGTATTCGACATTGGGCTGACCCCTGGGAATGTCATTTAGTCTTTCTGTTTGTCATTTGTGTGGCAGTTTTATATCTATTTATTAATGCTGTTTATAAAGCTTGTAATAAAATGAGCAGGAAAAGTTGAATCCTTCGCACAAATTCTGATGCAAACAAAAGCAACCGTTTCCCAATCTGGCCGAAATTAAATGCGCCTCTCTTGATTAGAGGGCTCGCAGGAGGGAGTGCTGGAGCCCTTTCTTTGGTGCTGCACCCTTCATTTTCAGATGCAGCCACCCCAGGACATCCTGTGGAGGAGTCCTTCCGTCCTCGGTCCTCTGTCCCTGGAGGCAGAGCGGAGCTCCTGCAGCCTGCTGCAGCTTCGGGCTGCACGCACACGAACTGGAATGGTGAAAGGCCGAAGCGGACCCCTGCTGCCCAGATGCCCGCACACTGACGATGGAGGGAACGGACAGCGCAGACCGGAAACGAGGAGGTAAGGCTGCTGTGAGTTCACAGCTCCGACTCGCCCAGCGGCCCCCCTGCCCCGTGCAGACTACGCTTCCCCACGGTGGTCCCTGCCAGCCTTCTCCATGTGCTTCCCCTTGCGGACTTGGGGGGCGGGGCAGGTGGGGGACACGAAGGGTTTAATCTCTCTTTCCATACCACCAGAACACTGATTCCGCCTGAGCCACTGAGAAGGTGACCTGAGGGACACACCCCCTTGTCCTTCCCCTTGGCAGCAGCTGGCCATGACAGGGTGGCAGAAAGAGCAGGTGAGTTCTAGGCACAGCTCTGCCAGGAACTGGAACGGGCTGTGTCATCCTGGACAAGGTGCTTTTCCACTCTGGACCTTGATCTCTTCATCTATAAAATGATTTCTAAAAAGGCTCTGGACAGACTAGCATGTGTGCCAATGCTGGCTTTGTCACTTATTAGCTGTGATCTTAGATATGTTACTTAACCTCTCCAAGCCTGTTTCCTCATCTGTAAGATGAGGATAATAATGTGTGTCTCACGGAGGTATCAAAAATACCAAATAAGATACAGTCTGTAAAGCCGCAAGCACAGGGCCTAGCCCATAATCAGTCCTCAGTAAGAGCTGCAAGTTAAGACCCCTCCTGGCTGGCACATTCTGTGGCTCTGGATCCACAGAAGGCAGGATTTGGCCAGTGATAACCCAAGGACATTCCAATGGCCTCTTGACAACGACACCATTTCTGGGCCGTCCACCTCCACCCACAGCTGTAGCCCACTCCCACTCCCGAGAAAGCGTCCTCTCCCCTGTCTGAAAGGGACCCACAGCTGCCCCTCTGCAAATCCATCTGATGTGGCTCCAGCTGGTGAGCAGCTGGGACACCTCAAGTCCTGGTGAGTGGCCTGCAGCTCTAAGCCCCAGCTGTGCCTTAAAGCATGCTGATCTAAGATGCAAACTGACCAACTTTAAAACGGACCACACAAAGAAAGGTCTGTGGCTTATAAACTCTTATTCATGCAGAACCTTTCTCCCCAACAAAATCTTACACGGAACCCCATTGCGACTTCAGCAGTAGAAGCAGGGAAACTAAAAAGTGTGAGGCAAATCAACAGATCAAAGTGGTACGGGAATTTGCTTGATACATTCTGGCTGACAGCATCCATTTCTACGCTGAAAGTCATGGAGAAGACAGCACATTAGTTATTTTCAGGATGTCAAAATTCGCTGTTGAATGAACATTTAGACTACGTGTACTGTTTTTACGACAATTTAAAAAAATCTTATATAATGACATTTGAATCAAATGTTTGCAGGATTCCAGAAACACAGAAACTCTGAAAACAACTTAACTACGTTCATAACACTGATGTCTCCTTGCATTTCAGTGTTTTATCACAGAACCACCACAGCCACTCCCCACCACCTCGAAGAAGGCTGGAGGCGGGTCAGAAAGGGTCAGAACGAGCCAGCAGCTTCCTTTAAGGGACTACTTCTCATCCTGGGACCCGCCCCGCACTGGAATCATCTGGGGAGCTTAAAAGAAAAACTAACAGGGCCTGGATCCCACCCGATGTAACTGGTCTGGGGTGCAGCCTGGGTGTCAGGATTTTTAAAAAGTCTAATACATAGCAGGGTCAAGAACTGGTGCCGTAAGGTGTCTCTACCTGTGCGGTGCCAGCCAGGTGCCCATATTAAAGAATGTATGGTAATATAAGGCTCTCAATAGCTTTAAGCCCCCCTTTCTGAGAAGACTACATTGATTTGGGTCAAGAAAGTTTCATTTTCCTCTAGTGAGTGGCCGGTCAGATACTGGCTATTGTGATGCCTTATCGGGCTTACCGGAGTGCACTCTACTTACAGACCTTAGAAAAGCACATTGGATCTGCACATTACCCCGCCGAAAGGTAAGCAATGTTAAGTGGCCTGAATGAGCCAGGGCATCAGGGTCAAAACAACTTGTCCAGGGCGGAAGCAGGTTATAAACAGCCCTGACAAATAAATAAATAAATGCTGGATTGTACTTTAAACACACACATTCAGCTGCACCTCCTTATTAAGTATCTCCTGAATTTCCTCCTCGCCTGACAAAGGGCCTTTGGCCCCTGAAAATAATGCCGCTCTTAGGAAGTGAACCTTAACACAGAAATAAAAATTAACTTTTGCTTTTCAGCAGCTTAATTCTCCTTCCAGACCCCACCCTCCCCATTTCCTGCTTGCACTGCCCGTGCTGTGCAGACCTCATTCTCCTTGATGCCTGCTTCTGCCTTCAAACAGACCCCAACCCTGACCGAGGCACCCCCTGGTCCCACTGCCCCTTCCACCTGCCCTCTCGGCCTACGACAAGAAGGCTCTTCTGAGCAGGGATCACGTCTCCTTCTTTTTTTTTTTTTTAACAATTTTTACTTTAGACATTCCTGTATTTGTTGAATTACTCTGCAGTAAGCAAATATCACTTCTCTAATTCAAAAGATGAAAGTATTGTATATAAATGTATAAAAAGGACTAGACACAAAAGGCAGAGAGTGGAAGACAAAAATAGGAACACAAAATAAAGACAACAAATAAAAAATAGTAATGAATATGGAGATATTAATCCGACTACATCAATAATCACTTTGACCATCAATGGTCTAAATGCACCAATTAGAGATTGTCAGAGTGAATCGAAAAACATGACCCAATTATATCTTGTCTACAAGAAACCCAGTTTAAATATAAAGACACGTGTAGGTTAAAAGTAAAGGGATGGAGAAAAATATGCCACGTTTACATTAATCAAAAGAAAGCAGAAGTAGCTACATTAATTTCAGACAGAGCAGACTTCAAAGTAAGGCAAGTTATCAGGGATGAAGAAGGACATTACATAATGGTAAAGGGGTCAATTCTCCACGAAGACATAACAATCCTTAATGTATATGCACCTACAGAGCATCGAACTACAAGGACAGAACTGCAAAGAGAAAAAAGATGAATCCACTATCATAGCTGGTGACTTGAACACTCCTCTCTCAGAAATGGACAGACCCAGCAGGCAGAAATTCAGTAAGGACACAGTCGAACTCAGCGCGACTGTCAATCAACTGGATACAATAGACACCTACAGACAGACTACTTTATCCAACAACAGAATACACATTCTCCTCAAGCTCACATGAAACATTCACCAGTGGGCCACAAAACACCTTAACTAGTTTAAAAGAACAGAAATCATACAATGTCTGCTCTCAGACCACAGTGGAATTAAACTGGAAATCAATTTTAGAAAGGTAGCTGGAAAATCCCCAAATACTTGGAGATTAAACAACGCACTTCTAAATAACGCATGGGCCACAGAAGAAATCTCAATAGAAATCAAAAATATTTTGAACTAAATGAAAACTAAAATACAGCGTATTGGAAGTTGTGATATGTGGGGTAACCAGTACTTGGAAGGAAATTTAGAGCATTGAATGCATGTATTAGAAAAGAAGATCTCAAATCAATAATCTAAATTTCCACTCTAGGAAACTAGAAAAGGAAAAACAAATTAGATTCAAAGTAAGCAGAAAACATAAAAAGAATTAGAGCGGAAATCAATGAAATCGGAAACGGAAAATCAATAGAGAAAATCAACATAACCAAAATCTGGTTCTTGAAAAAGATCAGTAAAATCGATAACCCTTTACTCATGCTCTCTAAGAAAAAAACAGAGGACACGCGTTATTCACATAAAAAAATGAAAGAGGAAATCACTACAGATGGTATGGAAATTAAAAGGCTAATAAAGGAATCCTACGAACAACTCTATGACCACAAATCTGATAACGGAGATGAAACTGACCAATTCCTTGAAAGACACAATCTGCAAAAACCCACACAAGAAGAAAAGAAGATTTGAATAGAAACTGAGTCAATCATAACTTTCCAAATCAGAAAAACATAGGAGAAAACCCAGATGACTTTGGGTATGGTGATGCCTTTTTAAACAGAACACCAAAGTCACAATCCATAAAAAAATACTTGATAAGCTGGACTTTCTTGAAATTAAAATCTTCTGCTCTGTGAAAGAAACTATCAAGAGCATTAGAAGACAAGCTACTGACTAGAAGAAAATATTTGTAAGAAGACATATCTGATAAAGGATTGTTATCCGAAATATACAATGAACTCTTAAAACTTAACAATAAGAAAAAACGATGCGATTAAAAAATGGGCCAAAGGCTTTGACAGACATCTCAGCAAAGAAGATAAACAAATGGCAGGTAAGCAAGTGAAAAGATGCTTCACATTAAATGTCATCAGGGAAATGCAAATTAAAACGACAATGAGACAC